GTTACAAAAACAGCTGCGTTGTTATCAGTTGTTGCTTTCCGCCTATACAGCTGTGATAAATTTCTGCACTTGTGAAGTTATTGTCAGTGTCAGTTGCTGAGTGGAAGGCCACCTGAAAGACTTACCACCAGCATCATGACATCTGGGAAGAGGCAGCAGGAAGCCCTTGGGAGCCGTGTTATAAGATCGCAAAACTATTTGTAGGGAATATATTTCTGTCATCAGATTTTCTTCTCTTAGAAGGCAGGTATTGAGCCATAGGTTAAAGAATTTTGTTGTGTTCCATAGTAGATTCAAAATATTCACTTTCTTTTTCTTCTTACTTTTCTTTTCCTTTTCCTTTCCACAGCCTCCTAAGTCTCACTATGCCACCCTTGGTAGAGTGCTGTGGCGTCACAGCTTACAGCAACCTCCAACTCTTGGACTTATGTGATTCTCTTGCTTCAGCCTCCCCAAAAATATTCACTTTCTGAATATATTAGTTATCTCTTGCCATGTAACAAATTACCAATACCTCAGAGCTCCAGACAACAAAAACAGCAAGGATGTATTCATTATGTAGACTGCTACACTTTCTCAGGATCAGACTCTGGAAATGGCTTGGCTGGGTGGTTTTGGTGGAATCTGGGAAGCTTGTATCTCATAGTCTGGGAGAACCTGCTTCCCACCCCACTCACGTGGTCTTTGGCAGGCATCAATTTCCTACTGGCTGTGGGCCAAGGCTCTATTCTTTACTGCCTGAGTTTTCCACAATGGAAAATGCAGTCTTTTACCACCTCATCTCAGATGACATATCATTACTTCTGTCCTCAGCTCTTGGTCACACAAACTAACCTTGCTGACCTGGGGAGGGGCTTGACAAGGGTGTGAATGACTAGAGGTGGGTGCCATCTTGGAGGCTGGCCACCACCTTGAAGCAAAGGTACTCTCTGAATTCCACGGTTAAGGAAGCACAGCTAAGGAAAGAATAATGAGGATATGCTTTTTAAACTTTGTGAGATTTATTTTGATATCTGTTGATAAGAAAAACATAAAGACGATATGAACATTAAACATAATCTAACACCGCATATAAATCTATTAACATAACTGATTTTATTTATTTTGCTTCTTCTAAAAATAAAATATACACTACTTAGGGTTTTCCATTTGTAGATATCCAGATTGAATGTTCAGTGATACACTTAGGCAGGGGTCCTCAAACTTTTTAAACAGGGGGCCAGCTCACTGTCCCTCAGGCCGTTGGAGGGCTGGACTGCGGGCCCGGGACGAGTCGGCTACTAAGCAGGACAGGCAGCAGTGGCAGAAACACCCAGTGGGCCGGATAAATGTCCTAGGCGGGCTGCATGTGGCCCGTGGGCCATAGTTTGAGGACGCCTGCCCTTAGGCTTAGAGAACAGCCAGAATTTTAGGT